TACTATCATTGGCTTATACAGGAAGCACTCTATGTGAGTGCATTCAAGGTACATTGAAGTTCGTGAGTTTATCGAGGTCGCTGAGTATATGTAGTGACTCGAGTCGTCGACACTATCCAGAACTTAGCCTTGGTCCTGCTGCCTCAGCAGCCTTCGGGCCGCATATCCTTGAGTACCTCAATGTGTTCTACTCCGACTCCTAGAATATTTCACTGGAATAGAATAGTTGTTGAATAGGTAGTTTAGCAGGGTCCACCGATTATTCCAGCCCGGTAGAGGGTGACAATACGTCGATGCCAAGCTGTGTGCTAGCGACGCAGCGTTCAGTAGTCCTACCCAAAATGGCAATTAGCACCGGCCGGCGGCACGTTAGTAGGATCGCGCAAACCTCCAAGTTTTCCTCTTTGCTTCACAGTTCAAAGTCTCAGCGACTCGGATACTAGCCTATTACTCTCGACGAAATGTCTGCCCTCTGCCGCTTTGCCAGCATTGTTCTCTTCAACAGCCCTTCAACCGCAGCGCGTGCCGGCCGCAGACTCTTCATGTTTCCAACTTTGCAGCATTTGGGGGATCTTGCAAGCGACTCCGATGCACCAGGCGCGTTTTCCTCTCTAAAAGTGAAGGGGTCTCGGCGTACTATAACGGCCCCCAATTGGCCTCAAGCATCGATATTCGCAGAGGCCACGCAACGGCTTAGCATTTACAAAAGCTTCCAGTGCTCGCAACAGCTTGCCTGCGAGAGCCTCATTATCTTCCACCACCGGAGATATTGAGGAGACGGACAGAGTCAAAGCGGAGCTTGGGTTTAGTACTGGTGAAGGTCGTGCACGCGCAAAATTACCGCAACACCGAAATCATATCGACGCGCCGCATTCAAAGTCTCAGGAAAAAATGAGTCGAGAAACACCTACTGGTATGTCAAGCTTGCGAGACGGAAAGGCGTTTCGGATACTAAATATTCAAGTCACACCCGTAACGAGGCAATGAAGCATGCGTTGTTTCTCGCAGTCGTAGATGAACAAAGAAAGAGCTCGGGAGTATTCTTGTCGCCCTCTTTCTCTTCTTGCCATGTCATCGAGTCCGGGAATTCCAGTGCATGGGCTGCCTCGACTAGAAGGGCTGCCTCTCGTCCGGCATTCGTGTTAGTGTTAGGATCCGCGAGGCGAGCCTGCTTTTCGTTCGCGTTCCAGGTGCCGATCTGAGCCTGGTTTGCGAGGGCGTTGGCGCTCGCCGCATCGCTTCGTCCGTACGCCTTGGCTGCTTCGATAAGTGCCGTGCTCGACTAAGGAGCCAGAACCAGGAGGCAAATATTGCGGAAGACCCGATGGGCAATGTGGTGCGGGTCGAGCGGTCGGCCGTGAGCTTTGGGCGTGAGCGGCCACCAAACGCTCCAATCGCACCTCGCGTGCAGTGATGCCCACAGCCGCCAGCTCGCGTAGCGGGTCGCGTGAGGCTGCCGCTGTCATGCCCCCTTCCTTCCACCACCACCTCATCATCCTCCACCTCAGAGAGTGTGGACGCCCTCTCCTCAGCATTGGCACCCGCCGCCGATTCTTCACTGTTGTCACCGTACGCCCTCAAACTGAGGAACACCAACTCGGCCTCGCGCAGCGCGGCTTTACGATCAGTATGCAGCGCGCAAGCCCGAATGCGAAAGTGCATCCTCCGCCTCGTCGCTTACGTGCACCACACAGCGTAACGTCTCTGCTCCATTGCGGCTGATAACATCGCCGCTTCGCAGACGTCTAGCGACTCAGCGTGCGACCGCCTCCGCAATCGCCTGGCCGAGAAAGAGGAGTTCGGCGCACAGCGATGCGAACCTTGCGTTCCATTTGAAGTCGCCGGAGTCGGGGAGAGATACGTGAAGACATATGTCTGTGTCGGGCCCGTACCGCACGATGACAATCGTGCCTTCTACTGCAGAGAACTAGCCACCGCGATAGCCAGGCAGCTGGGCGACACTCTGGAATACGTCGTTTATACTGACGGGAGGCTAGGAGCGCGCTCTGATGAGCTACTCCAGCTGCACAAGCTTCTGGCAGCAAATCCGTCTGTAGGATGTACGAAACGATGAAGGCGGCGTCCAGCATCATGAACAAGGGGACGCAGAGGAGCCTATGCAGGTACGGGTCTCGTTTTCCAACCGTCACCCTCCGTAAGTCTGCTGATGTACCGGTGAATCTCGCGATGTCTTCCACGCAGAACTTGCCGCGCAAAGGCATCCCCGGGTTCAGGAGTTGCAGGGCGTGGCGATCCTCACACATCCCTCTGCCGATTTCTTCGTCGCGAAGTCCGCCCACGGCGCCGGACAGGTTCTCGTAGGTGATGCATTTGTGGAATTCGTACCCCACTACGCGGTCGCCAATTTGACGTACGCAGTCCGCAACGTTCGCCGACTCCAGAGCACATGGTGCGATGCTCTCCACCCGCTCGTCGAAATAGTGGTCCTCTTCATCGGAAAGGACGCGTGCATCTTCCACGAGCGCGGGGTTCTGGTCTGTCCCGACATCGTGAAGGCCTGCAGCGTCGAAAGCGGCGTCAATGACCTGCCTAGTGCTGGCGGATGGCTCGAATTCGCAGCCAGTGCCACCACGCATGGAGTTCAGACCCATGCCACCCAGCGCGTCGATGATGGTGCTTTCGGTGGCACTGATGCGGGCATCGGTGCGCAATGCCAACACGTTAGCTATGACGACCTCGAGGGATGGGATGCGGTACGCCCGGGGGCGAGTGGAAGGATCCCCGGTGAGTGAATCAGATTGATCCGCATCCTGCACGGACCACAGGAGGTTCAAATAGCGGCGCCGGACGCTAATGTGTTCATCGTCGTTCTCGACACGGCCGTCTGCAGTAGTCCCAATCCTAACTCTGGCGTAAATGGCGGTATCCGAGGACTGGTGAGCGACATGGATGTGCTCGATGTCATGGTTGAGCCTGAGCTCTTCTACGAAGCCACGAGCAGCAGCGGTGTGCCCGTGCGCAGCCATCGCCTGCACGAAGATGGACTCGATCTCGTCAAGCTCCACGCCGCAAGCGAGAAGCTTGTGCACATTCTGTGGCATTTTTGTGTCAATTTATTGACCGGCACTGCGTGCAATGGGGCCCCAGTGTCCAACCTCCGTCCCTTGCGCGTGATGAATGCGCGAAGCCACGTCAGCAATTTAGCAGGACGAACCCCTGCCGCGCCACACTCATGACCTGCCCGGCCCCGGCGTATCCCATACCGTGTATCATCACTGCGTGTATTCGTGGGGGAAAGGGGGATGGCGCGTGCTTCCGTCGAATGGTAGGACGTCGAATGTGGTCTGCCGGTTAAGTGCCCGACACCTGCGAAGATGTGGACACGAGAGGAAGCAGTGGACGTGGATCCACGCCCTTCTTCTTTGTGTGCAAGTAGGAGAGGGAGGAAGTGAGGGTGGTTCGCGACCGTCTGCGGCATGTCTCCCAGGTGCCTCGCGAGGCGAGCCTTGTGCGCGCCAACAACTTCCGTGGATGTCAGCTCCAGGGTCTCGGGTAGGTCTGCCTCGTCGACGAGGGCGCCGCACGCGAGCCAAGTTGCCGCCTCGAACATGCGGGCGACGTCGGGTGGCACGATGCGGTCTCAAAACTCGTTATTGTCAGGGATGGTCATGACATAGTCGTAGCTGCGCTACACGGCAACAAACTTGCGCACGAGGTTGAGGGAAACGTGCGGCCACGCGGCGGAATCTTGGATGGCTAAGCGGCGGTCCAACATTCTTACTCGGTAACCGCGGAGGATAGAATGCGCACCCAGAAGACGTTCTCGACTTTGGCTTTAGTGCTCGCGGCAGCCTAACACGTACGATTGCTAGCGGTGCCAGGAGCGTCGTTGCGTTTCTTGTTGCCACGATCTATGGCAACGCGTTTCTTCTTTGCGGCAAACCTTTGTAGACGAGTTGAAGTAGAAGGGGGCACGCACGTAAACTACGTACCGACGGTCCCCGTTTCTTCGCTGGTAGCACATCGTCTTGCACATCCTCATCTACAATTTATGAGACGCGTTAGGACTGT